CAAATTATTGCAAAGAAAAACGTGTGATGCGTTGACACCCGTACACATGTTGTAAATCACTGCTGCAAGGAGCATTGCGTCATAAATAATGACGTCAACTTGAAATTCTGTCGGGACAGCAGGGTATGTGGGAGTTGCACACTCTGGGGGGTTATGTACTCTTGATATAATGAATCTCAAAACTTAGAACTGTTTTTGAAGAACTAGGAAGTGTGTTGTGTCGGGGTTCCGAAATTCCAAAACTGGCAAGCCTGGCGCAGAAGTTAGCCTCTGGGTGTATGGCGTCTGGTGAATGGTGGCGAACCATCAAGAAGGCCTCTGGCCACGGAAACAGCCCATCAATACCTACTCTCCGCAGCACCGATGGTACGGAGCACGACACCAACCGCAGCAAAGCAGAGTGCATGGCCGAACACTTCGCAAACAAATGCAGTCTAGGGGCAGACGACCTATCCGCTCCATTTCCTTACGTCCGACCACGTACTGACCGCAACCTCTGCACCGTCCGGTTTCGCGAAACCACAGTCGAGCGAACTCTCCGCCAGCTCAACCCCACCAAGGCCACTGGTCCAGATGGGATACCTGCCCGCGTCTTGAAAGCTTGCTCTGCAGAATTGGCACGGCCGCTTTCAAAACTATTTACATGCTGTCTTCGCTCCGGTATCCAGCCACAACAGTGGAAGGTTGCAAACGTAGTTCCAGTCCACAAGCGCAAGTCTAAATCGTCGCCATCAAACTATCGACCAGTGTCGTTACTGAGCATCCTCTCCAAGGTCATGGAGACCATAGTCAACAGGGCAATGAGCAACTTCATGGAGACGAATCACGTCCTGTCAGAACGGCAATTTGGATTCCGTCGCGGCCACAGTGCAGCAGACCTGCTGACTGCTCTCCACCACCAGTGGGTGCACACCGCCGGAGATAAAGGAGCTTCTCGAGTGCTGGCCATCGACATCGCTGGAGCATTTGACCGGGTGTCTCACACTGGTGTGTTGCACAAGGCTAGAGTGTATGGCATCTCGGGAGGCCTGCATCGGTGGCTCCAAGACTACCTCTGCAACCGCACACTTCAAGTCCTCATCTCCGGCCAGACATCAGCCAGACGCCCAGTTAAGGCTGGGGTGCCACAGGGCAGTATCCTGGGCCCCACCTTATTCTTGGTCTACGTCAACGACCTTGAAGACCACCTCCCAATCGGCTCCAACCTTGCCTCATTCGCCGATGACACAACCCTATACGCCGAATTGCAACGCTCGCTGCTGTTCCTGACAACGCTAGAGTACTCCAGGCTGCTGTCGACCTAGTATCCAGTTGGGGCTCGGATTGGAAAGTGCAGTTCGAGCCAGCCAAATCCCAGGCCCTTACAATTTCCCACCATCGTCGGGACTGGCCAATACCCCCCATTGTCTTCAATGGAACTCCTGTCGAGGAGCAGCCCTCCATCAAAGTACTCGGCGTCACGTTTGACCATCAGCTAAAATTCAGCCAGCATATCCGAACTGTTGTAGTCCGAGCAACGCAGAGACTTGGAGCCTTGCGCAAGGCATTTCACTTGCTGCCTATTCCTGCCCGGCTTCGAGCCTACAAAGCCTTTGTCCGGCCGGTTATGGAGTACTGCCCAATCGTCTGGATGGGGGCAGCTCCTTCCCACTTGAATCGGCTGGACTGGGTGCAGGAGCGAGCCATCAAGGCAATACATCCGCAATGCTGGCTTCCTAGCCTCATAATTCGCCGCACCATCGCTGCCCTCTGCCTCCTGTATAAAGCCCTTTGCGATAATTCTCCCGCTCTTCTCTCGAGAATGGCTCCACCCCCGACACACCAACCCAGGACCACACGCCTCACCCGCCAGGCTGTACGACTGTCCACCGCGCATCCCCATCAGTTACAGAATGTTCTTCCTGCCAATTCCCGGAACAATGTGAGCCGAGCCTTTCCCCACTCCGTCATCCCAATTTGGAACCAGCTGCCTACCTCTATCATTCCCCACCCATTTCACCCAAAGAACATCCAAAAGTTCAAGACAGCAGCTTATCACCATCTCCTCAGAACGAACTGGCACTGGGCCACTCATAGCATACGCGAGTAAGAGGGTACAGTGTCCTACCCTGCTTGGACATACATGTAATCTCTCCTCACGGGCAGTCTCCTCTTGAATTTAAAAGTCTAACAGCGTTCACATCAATACTCAACTTATTCTTTTGCTCACTGAGCAATACAATCTTTCCGTTTTCTTTCTTCTGTTTTCTTTTTCAATTTAATCCTCCCCACCCAATATCCCTTTGGTGCGTCCATGGAGCTATGAAGCCGAGACCTCTGGTCGGCGGAGCTTAATGCCAAATAATGGGCCCCACCACCACACTCCATCATTCACCCCAGTGTCTGGAGATATGTGGATTTTGTAGAAAAAAAAGAAAAAAAAAAAAGAACTCGATTCCCTTTGATTCGGCTGCACTAGCTCCAGAGCGACCCTCTCCTGAGGACAGACTGCAGAGAGGCCAGGAACCTGCCGAGTCACGAGTGGAAGCCCAACTGTGACTCGAAAATGAGGGGTGGAAGGACTGAGTGTGAGAGCCAGATGGCCTTTAGTAGTACTTCAAGTAGTATCTGAGTTGAAGGAGAGAACAAGTGTGCTGGAGAAATGCTGCGAAGTCCTCAGGCCTGATGTGTACTAGCTACTGTTGAAGTCTCACTTGTTCCGATATGAACACTTCATCAGCCCTGACTCTGAGCAGCTGTATCTAGACTTGGATTTAGGCCAGAGACATAGCATTGTAAACCTTACTGAAGCCATAATATGTATCCAATGCCTGGCTCTAGTGAGAAAGCAGTTTGGCGCAGGCTCGCAAACTATGATTGAATCAGGAAGTGGTGGAAAGTCACATTATACCTCCCCATGATTAGCTGGTAATGACGACGATGCGGCTCCGGCTGGGTTTCATGGGAAAGTAACTTGCATACCTGTTTAGTTGCAACGAGGCAACGGTACCCCATGTACTGAAGACATGATTGAACTACATTTTATCTCCTGGAAGAATGTGGAACAAATAATGCCAGAGTGTGTCTGATACACATCACAGTCTGCTGAGTATGTTCATTATTGTGGACGTAACCGAACTGCGTTGGACCTACAGTTGAGCCACTACTCTTCTTACAAATTCCATACAACGGTGAAAGGATTTGTTGGAGCATCATCAAACAGTGCATTCAGCCATTCACCTTCATCATACACTGGCTCCGTTGCCTACAGTAATTCACATTTTGACGGGGCGCGCTGGGACGATACGGAAGGAGCGGCGGGAACCATTGGAGTGCTCATGATGCTGGTTAGCGGAGACGGATGTGTCAGGAACGGGAACGCAACCGCACTACTGTACAGATCAGGAAGCGATGGAAGAGTTGAATCTGTTCAGCCTTCCATGCCGTGTACAGGGACACAAGCGTAAAAATGGCTACATTTCGAATGTGAACTGGCGATGGCATTGTGTGGCGACGAACACAACTGCAACTGTTCAAATTTCAGCATTTCGAACATTATGCTTCCCATGATAACTCACCGAATGGCTCACATGACGGAGTTGGACATTACCAGGTTAGGATTATCATTTGCTGTATTTATGGATAGTCCTTGAGTTTTCAGATGAAGTGCTTTATCTTTTACCTGTCGTTCCTTTAGTATGGCACAATGTCCATAGCTGCTTCCTTGTCTTCATAACAGACTGGTATAATCAGAATGATTCTGCTTTATTTGAGAAGAAATACTTGTAAAACTTTCCTTTCGGAAAGGAAGCCCAGAAACGTCAACCCCCATGGACTGTGCTTCATGACTCTCGTCCATCGACGTTAACCGTCGCAATAACTGCTGCATGTGTGTTGTGCTGTGCGAACTGTACAAGATTTTACAGCTCACCCACGCCTTCCCAACAGGCTCCTATATCCCGAACCGTTAGCGTTACATTGAATATGAACTAGGCTAGCACAGCTATCCTTCGTCTTTTGTTGGCGGCGGGTAGCATGGAACTTGACGTGTTCTTGGGATCCTCGTGCAACACTTGCTGTTCCCGGATGCCATATTATTGGGTGCATCGAGGTTGCTTCTATGCTCACTGTTGTTTAGTAGGACAATTTTTTTATAACTATTTCACCGAAGAATAAGGCAAGAGTATTTTTGGGTTGGTTTGGACGCCGCAGGCTGGCTTCTCTTCACACAATATACAGTAACTTCCACTATTAAATAATTGTCACCAGTCATGACAACTCGTGATGACACAACAATGTACAATTTGGGAAGATCCGAATGACATAGATACATAAACATAAAAGTGGAGTAGGTGCCACAGCTGATCATTTTATCGCAGGTTGTGGGACTAAACTAATACCAGTATGCAAGTACACAAGAAATATAAAAAATATTTCTCTGTTATCAAGCAGTATGCATTATTTGTAACAGTAATTACTTGTCTGTGTCATGTGCATGCATTGTCTTATTTACTTTTTCAGGCTACAGCACAATCAGGAGAACGAAATATACGTCGCAATCAAGCTATGTCGTTGACGTGTCATCTTCTATGTGCCATGCGTTACCTGCTGTACCAGCCTGCTATGTCGGATACCGCTAACCATGCATCGACTAGGCGCCAGGCGCGAACTGATGGTGGTGGCGGTGGTGGTGGTGGTGGTGGTGGTGGTGGTGGTGGTGGTGGTGGTGGTGGTGGTGGTGGTGAGAAGGAGAGCTCTGTGCCAGAATAACTTTGCAGTTTAGAGAGCATGTCTGGGCAGGAGTGTATTTACCGCCATATTGCCAGGTGTGTATTTACCACCATATGAATCAACCATAAGTACAGCTGCAGTGGAGTCTTCAACTTCATTCTCCCGAGTCAAGCTCCTTGTGAAGACATCCAAGAAGAAGATTGCCTGATGACCAGCGGTGACGAAACGTACATCGCAATCAAGCTATGTCGTTGCTATGTCGTTGCTGTGTCATCTGCTATACGCCATAGGCTACCTGATGTACCAGCCTGCTATGTCAGATACCACTCACCATGCATCGACTAGGCGCCAGACACGAACTGATGGTGGTGTTGGTGAGAAGGAGAGCTCTGTGCCAGAATAACTTTGCAGTTTAGAGAGCGTGTGTGGGCAGGTGTGTATTTACCGCCATATGAATCGACCACAGTACAATCAGCTGACGTTATACAGTGTCTGCTCTAGGATTGTAGGACAGCCAGGTACACGTGTACCTGGCGCAACCATTTCAATCGGGTTGGAGCCGGGTACACATGTACCTGGCGCTGTCTCACCAGCCGAGTCACATGCTTTAACTGGTTGGTTGGTTTATTTTAATTCGGACAATAAACGGGAACTAGGCCCAATGATATAAAGGCGAATGGCTAAGCCGCATTTAGAAAAAAGAGAGGACAGGAATTAGAAAATTACGAAAGAAGAAGAAGTATCTGACACATACAAGCCATGTAGCTAGTCCTTTCAAAGTTCGAAAGTGTAAAGTACCAACCGGGTCACAAGTGACCCGGTACTATCTTTTCAACCGGGTGCAAGCGCCGCCCAACCGGGTGGATTACCCGGCTCACCCGGCGCTGGAGCAGACACTGGTTATAAGGATGATCTCGTGCAGCGATATTATGATATTTTTTCAGTCTTTTCTAAGGACTCTCCACTGCAGCGTTTTCTTTCCACTCGGTTCTCTTCTTTTCATCGCTCAGCTTGCACTTGCAATGCTTATACATAGCTCATCAATCCCGTTCAATTTTCCGTACATTTTCTCAAAATCCATAGCGCGGACGAGGTAGTGATTTTCCGTACAAATATGGAAAATACAGAAGGTTGCAGCATTGTGTTGAGGCAGCTATTGTTGCATGACTTTATTTGGAATTAATTCTGTTGTATATGCACACATTCCTGAGTGCATTGTATTAGCATCCAATGTATGTTATCTGTGCGAGCTTCTAACGTTGTGAACATTCACCGAAGGTTCGGTTGGTGGCGCACAAGATCTTCCGGGATGGCTCTTGCGGACTCTCAGCCCTGTGTTTACTGCATAAAACATGGCAGAACAGTTCAAGCTTCAATTTAGGCCATTTCCTCACTCTGTGACTCCAATATTTCACATGTGTAATAATTATGAGTATTGTAGATCACTGGGACAGCGCCACTTTGTTAGTCAATGTTAGTCCTGAAGAAAAATTGACTTCATTGCCCTAAAGGTGAGAACAAATTGGGACTATTTGTAAAGGAAAACTTTGGAGAAAGGAAAAGGACATATGGATACGAGTTAAGAGTAACTCTCCATCACTGTAGCCAGATACTATATACAGTCAGAAAGTGCAACAACTAGGCACAAAAAAAACCGTCGTATCCATAATGTCCTTTCCTTTTTACATTTTATTATTGGCTCAACATCCGAGTTTCAAATTGAAAACTTTGGAAAATGTAATTTCGAATGTAAGTCATTTCGTTCAAGTGTCTGGATATAGGTCCAATATTTCACAAATGTGCAATTTACCGTATTGTAGATCACTGGGACAGTTCGTCAAAGTAAAAGTTTATTATTAGTTAATAGTGTTGAGGAAAAAATTTACTTCATTGCCCTGAAGGTGAGAAAATATTGGACTACCTCTTCTTAGGTGGTCAAAATGCCAAAGTTCGAGTGGCAGTGCAAAGCCATTGAGTAAGCCAGTGAACAAGTGAACTCCTCAGCGATGGTTACAGGTGGCTGTATTTCGGCAATGGAGATCGAAAGTCTGACCACAATTGTTCGCAAAGGACGAAGACGACGATTTCTCGCTATGTACGGATTTCCCGCGCGCTATGTACGGACTTGTCCCACGCCGAGCAGGTCGTAATAATTATTTTGATTCGTTGAGTCGATCATGGGTGTAACTGCTGAGGGGCAGCGGTATCTCGGTATCATCGGTATCTCGGTATCTCGGTATCATCGGTTTCTCGGTATCTGGGTATCATCGGTATCATCGGTATCTCGGTATCTCGGTGCAGCGTTAGGCACTCCTAGATCCTGCCTTTATTCAGGATTACCTCCAGAAGAAGGCATATGCATGGTGCAAGGAGATCCCTATCTCAACCACAAGCAGCATATGAAGCCTTCACGCGTAGCCTCGCCAGCAGGTGGACGTTCCTCTGCCGGGTTCAGAAGGAGGCCCCGGAAACCATGGCACCCGTCGAGCATATCATCCACACCAAACTTCTTCCAAACTTGACGGGACAGCCTATTGACACCGCTCTCAGACATCTCTTCTCTCCCCTGCCGTGAAGGCGGGCTCGGTTTGCTTGACCCGACCACACTGGAGACGCAGTACTGTTCCTCTCGATCCGTCACCTCGTCGCTCGTTGAGAACATCGTCGCTCAGCGCCCACAGCTTGGTTGTTTGTTTGTTTGTTGTTTGTATACTTTATTTAGAGTGGGAAGTCCAAAACAGGCCCTAGCCTAATAACAATGGTCCCACTAGTGAGGGAATGCTGTATATCTGTGCATAAGTATCAGTGAGTGTACCAGCAACTAGTTGGGAAAGAAAAAGAGAGAAGAAGAACAACTCAAAACAGGAGTTGCGACTTGCATAGGGAGAAAATAACGTAAAGAGCAGTGCATACAGCATTTGTAAAAAGGCTTATTTATCTGGTAAGCAAAAAGGCAAGAGCCATTGACTTAAAGCGATTGCGTTTTCTTTCTTGCCTGACCGCAGCGGGGAGCTGGTTCCATAAGATGGTCCCAGCATAGGTAACACGTTTGGCAAGATATGCAGTTGGGCTGGCTGGGACAATCAGTAAATTGCTGTGCCCACCACGAGTTTGAGTGGAATTACTGCGGCTGAAAAAGTTAGCGAACAACATGCTGATGTTAGAGGAGTCATGGAGACAACGTCAGATAAAAACCAGAAGGTGCATGTTGGCGTATATGGTCAATGTTTGGATGTTCATGCGCGTAAGAATATTGCTTGTGGGTGTCCCGGGAGGTACCCGACAGACTGTGCGTACAGCACGCTTGAAGAGCCCATTAAGCCGTCTACTTTGATACGCCGTGAGAAATGGTAAGTAAGCAGAAGCGGCATACATAAAGTGTGATAAAATGAAAGAACGAAAATAGGCTATGCGACATTGAAAAGGCAGGAACGTAGCGTATCGTCTGAGCACGCCAACTTTCGACGCGACGCCCCGTGCGACGTGGTCGACCATGGTGTTCCAGCTCATGTCCGCATCAAAGTGGAGACCTAAATATTTCGCAGAGCGAACAGTTGGCAGAGGCAGTCCATTACATTGCACTTGCAAGTCAAATGTTTGAGATCGTACTGGCGATATCGACATGATCTGTGTCTTGGTTTCATTCAAGATGAGACCGCGGTTCCTAAGCCAATCGGCGAGGTGCTGGACAGCACTTGAGAGATTTTGGGACACCTCATCCGTGTTCATGCCGCTGGATCTAATTGAGATATCGTCCGCAAACTGCAGGGTCGCAACGTTGTAAGGGGACAGCTCTTTCGCAATGTCACGGACGTAGAGAACAAACAACAGGGGCCCGAGAACTGACCCCTGTGGTACTCCGGAGAAGCTGGTGTATGGTGAGCTCTTTACCTGACCGACTTTGACATACTGTGTCCGATCTGAGAGGTAGTCTGCAAGCCATTGCAGCACCGTTCCACCAATTCCGACCTCGAATAGGTCCTGAATAAGGGTTTGGTGCTTCACCTTATCAAATGCTTTTGACATATCTACGAAAGCAATCCCCGTGAAGTACTTATTTGTCTGGGCTTGGCATATGCCCTCAACGGCTAATACAAGGGCATCACATGTGGAATGATGTGAACGATAGCCGAACTGAGTTGGTGGAAATAGATCATGTCGGCACAAGTACTGAGTGAGCTGATCATGGATGACTCGCTCCAAAAGCTTTGAAACTATCGACATTAGAGACACGGGTCTGTGATTCTTTGCTATGCTGGGATCACCACCTTTAAACAGAGGTGAAATGCTGGCCACCTTCATAGGAGCTGGGAAATGTCCCTTCCTCATGGATTTGTTGAACAATAAGGCCAATGACGGCGCAAGAACATCTGCATGAGCTCGAAGAAGGGCTGCAGGGATGCCGTCACTGCCAGTTGCCTTCGTCGGATTCTGTTGCTCTAGAAGCTTCCGGACTTTTGCAATAGATACAGGAACAAATTCCACAAAACTAGTTGCCGTTCGTGGCCCTTGGGGTAGGTGAAGATGAACTGGGCGGCTGGGATCTTCCACGATCTTGGCGAAAGCACTTCGAATTGCCTCAGCTGAGCACTGAAGCGGTGCCGATTTTCTTTGTTTCCCCGTCAACTGGTTAATGATTCGCCAGGTTTGTTTTACATCACAAGTCGCAAGCTGAAATTTTGAACTGTAGTACGCTTCTTTCAGCTTCCGGTTACAGGTAGTGGCCTCCCTTCTCGCCGCTTTGAATGTGGCGTAACTTTGCTCAGATCTGTCTGACAGCCACTTTCTATGAAGCCGGTTGCGCTTACTCAAAAGGTGCAAGAGCTGGCTGTCCATCCACGGTACCGATTGTCGCTTGTGCTGCTTACAAGATCTAAGAGGGGCATGAGTGTCAAGCACCTGCAGGAAGCGATTATTCCACTCCGTCCACATGTCTGTTGGGCTGCCTTCGATGCTGCAAAAATTCTGCTGAATCAAGTCAGCTTTGAAGCGTTCATGATTGATCCTTCGGTAGTTCCGGCACAACATTGATGTCTCGGGACTCCTTGTCGGGTCAAGGTAGAATTCACTTATGACCGCTGCATGGTCGCTGAAAGCCACGGGATGGATCGTTGCCACATTGTGCTGGTCAAACGTATTGAAGAACAGATCCAATGTGGTGGGTGTGGAATTAGATGCAAACCGTGTCCGCTGATGAACGCCCTGGTGGAGACTGTAGCTTGCCGTTAGATCAGACAGGAAATGGAGCTGATGATCTGGAGCCGTTGATGGATCCACATTCACATTTAAGTCACCGCACAGTATAACGTTCCTGCCCGGAGTGATAGCTGAGTGTAGAAGACCATCAAGGCGATCCCAGTAGCCAATAGGTTCAGAGGGAGGACGATAGATTGTGCCTATCAAGCAACTCCCACCAGTACAGGGAATCTCGCCCCAACAACTCTCAACCCCAGCAGCAGCTATATCGCATCTCGGCTTGAGAGGCAAGGATGTTCGGGAATATAAGCAGACACCTCCACCAACTTGATCCTCTCGATCAGCACGCAAAACATTGTAACCTGCCAACGTGATTTCTCCATCAGTAATTGTACTATCCAGCCATGTCTCGTTCACACAGACAATATCAGGACAATGCTGGCGGGTGAGTTGTGCTAGGTCATTAATCTTGTTTCGAAGGCTCCTGATGTTTATCAGTAGAACTTTCAGCTTAGCGTCGCCACTCAGTCCTCCCCTGTCTCTGAAAGGTGCTTTCGGATGGCGCACTCTACCCGGAAAGAAAGTTGGAGCCTGCGCATTCAGTATCGAGGTGTTCATTGCGCCTCCGCTTGGTCGGACCTGAAGCGCCAGTCGCGGAGAGTGTATGCAACTGTTTCAGGCCAGAAAGACTTTTCACTAACTTTGTTCACGTCCTCAGCGTCAACTGTTATTCTCGCGGAGGCCGTTCTGAAGTATTCAGAAGAGTATATAATACATTGCACTATCTCCACGTCCCGATCTCTGCACCATTCAGCGATGGACTGTGCCTGGCAACCATACGGGATTTGCCCCAGGTAGAGAACTTTCCGCGGGCCTCTGGGGACGGTGTCTAACGAAGGTGTCGGGTTGCTATCGGACGTACGTTCCCGGATGTAACGTGAAGACTCGTGGCGGCGGATGGGATTTGTCTGCGCTTTGCGAATGTCAGTCTGCCGTTCTGCAGGACTTGTAGCCTTCTCCGTCCCGGAAGGTTCTGATGCTAGCCGCCTCTTGAAGCGTCGACGCTCCTTCCTGGACATGACATCCTCGAAGGGCGCCTGATCAACCGATATGTCCATTGGAAGGTCGATTGGGGCAGCATCTCTAGATATGGCCTGTGAATACAACTCCTTGGGTTCATTCCTGGCAACGTCTTGAAGTATTGATCCTTCACCTGGGGATGTGGCATGTAGGTCTCTTTGTGCTCTTCCAATCTTCGAATAGCTCGCCAGTGGAGCAGTCACCTGCGGCCTGGCATGCTTGTGCTGTTTCCCGCCGCTGGCCCTCTCCAAGTCGCCTACTCTGTCAGAGAGAGATGCCAGTTCCCGCTTCACAATCGCTTCAACCTCTAGTAAGGGGATACCCTTCTCCCCTGCAGCCGTGATCTCCCGCCCCTGGCCGTCTCTCAGCGCTGCCAACTCGTCACTGATGCCAACGACAATCCGCATCATCTCACCCAAGCGCTCAACGACTCCAGCAGCTGATGGGTGTAACACACCCACACCAGCCTCGCGAAGTTTCCCGACCACCTCCGCGCGAGCCATACTGTCCAGGCCATCAATGCTATGCCGCCGAGCTAAACCTCGCAGTTCCTCGAAAGTGAGAATGGCTAAGTCTACAACGTCACCCAGGTTCATTTTGCACCAGGTTATCGCAGACACGGCCGCAGCAAGTCGCGAAAATAGCGTCGTGAAGACAAACCACCAGTGTGAACAGAGGCGCGAGCACTCCACTCCAGCGCGTGATCCAGCGCGTGAAGCAGCGATGTAGCGATGTAGGTAATCCAGCTAGACGCAACGCACAACCCAGCCCTAGCGCTAAGGATTAGACCAGACCTGGACCAGGACTTCATCCAATGGCAGGACACTGCCAACTCAGCCAACCTGAAGATATAACAGCAGCCCCCGTCAGCTCCAGACCAAACAGCAACCAAGCAACTCAGCAACCAAGCAAGCTTCCTCCTCCAACCAGAGCATCCAAAAGTGTGTTTCTTGATGTACGGGTTTTATGCGCTGGCCACCGTCAGCCACATGAAGACCAGGGTACGCAATGAAGCCCGCCGCCGTGTTCAGTAACCTGCCGTCCACTGAAGGCTCATGAGTTCTCACTATCCAAGAGTGAGTTCAGGGATGGTCTAGCTCTGCGGTATGGATGCCAGCCCAGGCGCCTACCATCAGTGCGTGTGTGTGGTGAGCCATTCGATGTGACCCACGCTCTTTCCTGCAGCACTGGCGGCTACCCGACAATCCGTCACAACGAGCTTCGTGACGTGACACCGAATCTGCTCAAGAGAGTTGCCACGGATGTGGCAATCGAGCCTCGACTCCAGCCGCTAACTGGAGAAAGGCTGCAGTACCGAACCGCAATCACTGACGACCAGGCCCAATTGGATGTGGCGGCTAGTGGTGTGTGGGGTGGAAGATTCGAGCGTGTGTTTCTTGATGTACGGGTTTTCAACCCTTTCGCACAATCGAATCGGACCTCCTGACCTCACTCACCAGCACGTACCAGCGCCATGACAAGGAAAAACGTCGACACTATGGCCAACGCGTCAGGGCTGTTGAGCATGCCACCTTCCTGCCATTGGTTTTCTCAGCCAGTGGTGGGATGGGGAAATCCGCCACCACCTTCTACAAGCTTGTCGCGTCTGGTCTCAGAGAAGACGAAGGAGCCGTACAGCCAGGTCATGTCGTAGATCCGGTGCCGGCTGTCTTTTGCCCTGCTGAGATCCAACATTGCTTCAGGCGCATGCGCCGGTGCCCTTCAAGGGGGTTGCGGGGGGGGGGGCTCCCCGGGAAAAATTCCAAAAATGAAGCAAAATCCTGCATTTCGAGCGAAAAAAGGGGGGTTCCGGGCACCTAGGAACCCACACGGGGCACGCGCCTGTGCTTGTTTGCCGGGCGCACGGCGGATTCGTCCCCTGCCAGGCATGGACACCTACATGTATGTCGTGAGGGTGGTGGCTGAAGCGGCTATCCGGTCCTGAGGCAGTTGTGTTTGGTGTCGATGGCCGGTTTTTGACATCCACTGTACTAAGAGTCTAAGTGCATCATAGTTGTACATTAGGAATTGCCATTGTTATTATTAATTTTGTCATAGCGACCCACGTAAGTCCACATAACTGGCAGGGCAGGGTTGGGCCTTTTTTCTTTTTCTTTTCTTTTTCATTATTATTTGCCATACAATCATGTGCCATACCCGGTACCCAAATACATGTGGACAATAAAGAATTATGTACCCAGTAAAACAAAAACAAAAAATCGTGGTTGTGCACAAGTGATCCGCGTGTCGCCTCCCGGCCCAGTCCCGGGTACCCGGGTATATGACTCCCTACTCATCACTCATCACTCAGCAGCTAGCTCAGCAGCAGACAGCATGCACTCATCAAGAACCAGATGAACGCACAAGGTAAGAAGCCAGGGCATACGGTAATACGTTTCAGGGAGTCTTGAAACCCCGCGCGCGGGCGCTCACGACACAACGTCACAAGTCATCTGGTCAGCACAGGGCCAGGGGATCACGAGGGGATATGGGAACACGGAAGTAACGGTAGCATGCAGCATGCATGCAAACAAAAAAAATAGCATCACTGCCATCAGTGCATGCAGCGCATGCACTGATGGCAGTGATCATGGTGATGCAGGCAGCCTGCACTGCAGCCGTGCAGGCCGGAAAAGTGCTGTCAGTTCCCCATACCGGTATCAGATTATTGTGTAGCGTGTGTGCAAGCTGGCAGGCCTGCATGGCTCTCTCACTCTCACTCTCTGCCCGCGTGCACTGGCTATTTTTTGCTTCTTGCACGCAGACAGTTTGTCAGCAGAAGTACGGAATAATTGGGCGGCATAGATTGTTCTGAATTGAGTTCCATGCGCCTTTGGCGCCTGCTCATTTCCTCCCAACACAACCAGTCGGGACACTATTTCTCCTCACGAGCCTTAGTGAAGCACAAATTCTGTAATGAAGTGTCGCGGAATTCATAGTGTTCCTGATTTCTAAATTTTGGATAATCGCCCTCAATCACTATCTAACTGTGAATAGATAATGCTTGGGGTATAGCTTTCCTGCTAGTCGACAAAGCTAAAGTAATGAGCGACACGGAGAAACCGACCGCTAGTGCTGGTCTGCTGGACAGGTTCTTCCCGTCCTCTGCTAGCGAGACGACGAAAGCGTGCAGTGCAGGTGAGCGATTAGTCGCTGTTCCCGTTTTTACAATTAAACATTTTGTTGGGACGAGCAGATTGAAACATGAGCAGCAAGACATACATGTGTACACCAAGTAGATATGATTCTGTATCTGGTGGTACATGTACTGCAGGCAGGGATGAGGAGCTCGCAGACTAGCGTTAGTACAGTCTGGAAACTCTCACGTGCCCCACGATAATTTTCGGACAATTGATGGATGATAGATGCGCATGTGGTTTGACACGAAACCCTTTCTTTACAAATTTCTTTTCATGTTCTCCTTGCCGAGTTGTCTGTACGTGTACACGATGCAATCCGTGCATGTCATTGCAATGTTCTTCTTATCAAGAGCAAGAGACTTTCCACACTGGCATGGGCTGGTGCTATAACCACCTCCCCCCTCCTCACCCCCCCCCCCCCCCCCAACACACACACACACATGCATACACCAGGGCCGGAGGCAGCTTCCGTGGAGCGGTGCGGGCGAAGGGCCATCTTTAAGGGGGGTCTGGGGGTCATCCCCCGAAAGTTTTTGGAAGTTAGACGGCAAGTCCTGCACTCAGGGCGGCTCCCTGTACAAAATCATACATCGAGACTTTTTCTCCCCTGGTTTGGACATTCCACGTGGACCGACTTTTTGGGAAGTTGGTACGGTCATGGCCGTACCGGCCGTACCAGTGGCGCCGGCCCTGCACACACAATACAATACAATAAAGTATTGCCCATCCGGAGATGATCATAGATCCTGAAAGGACCGACAGTGTTTCAGACACACACATACACACACACACACACACACACACACACACCTGGTCCTGGTCCTGGTATACACTGCCATGTAGGTAACGTGTTTCTCGTTGAGCGAGACGGAGACGAGAGGAGACATGAGCGTTGGTGACGGGATAAGTCGTTTCGCCTTTTGAAACGCCTCCGGCAATTCTGACATTGCAATTGGAACTTGTCCCTTTCATCAGCAGTTGGGCGCCTGGTGGATCGGTTGCAGTTGTGGATAGCAAAGCCCCGGATCGACTTACAGCAGCGTTCACAAATGGGACAGTGAGCGGTACAGCACGGTTTCCGAATACATAGGCGTACAGGTGAAGAGCTTGTGGCATTGGCAACATTCGGGGCAGAATTGGACTGGACACAGCGATGGACTGCAATGCCACCCGCACTCCGAAACCATCGGTGACACTGGGAGCACTGGCGGCTGTTGGCTTGCTGCTGGACTGGTTTACGCCGTTCCATGATGCACTTGTGGCGGGCGATATCTTGCTGCCGAGCAAATGCACGCCGGCACACCTCGCAGACTATCTCCCGAGCCGGTTTCTGAGCTGGTTGTATTGCTCGATAAGCTTGCCGCCACTCAGATCGTTCCTGCGCTGTGTCAAACCATGACTCGTCGGCGATGTTTATTCGTCGCAGGTCGACCCTAATTGCGTCTCGCCATCGTTTCCGCGGGCCACACGCTGGGCGTGGTGGCAGCAATGTGCCAAACAACAACATCCGCGGCATCCGCTCCTCAGGCATGCGTACCACGTGCCCAAGCCATTCCAGTCTTCTCTGCATGAGGCGGTCGGGGATATCCAGTGGGTTTGCTGCATTCCATGTTTTCAGAATGGTGTCCTTGGCTATCTTCAAGTCCCACACATCCCGCTGTGCAACACTCATGATGGAAAGAAGCGACCGGTAGTAGAAGGTCGTGATCCGTTGCACATCACTTTGCAGCGGTACCCACGTCTCCGCACAATAGAGCAGTAAGGACAGAACACAGGCCTCGAAAACCAGACGCTTGGTGCGCAGAGAGAGATTGTGGTCATTGAAGACAGCATGACGGAGCGCTCCAAAAGCACGGGAGGCAGATGAAACACGGGTCGATACATCTTTGTGAGATCGGCCAGAATCATGGATAACAGCACCCAGGTATCGGAACTCACGCACACATTCCAATGTGCCATTCTTCACATTCTTCACAGGAAGAGGAAGTCGGTCATCATCCGTGATACCATAGCCAACCGCCATAAATTTGGTCTTGTCCAGATTGACGGTCAGACCAAATGCAGACGAGACATCGATGAACATATCCAGAGCAAGAGCAGCAGCAGTACGGGTAGTGGCAAACAGTGCAGAGTCGTCAGCGAACTGGCAGTCGTTGATGGTAGTCTGATCGTCAGTACGCTTTCTCTTGAAATAAAGCGAGCCCCCAGGATTGAATGCCAACGGGACGCCGATACCAGGCACATGCTCGACCACTCTGGACCATCTCTGGAAAACAGCCCACATGAATATGTTGAATAAGACTGGTGCCATACAACAGCCCTGCCGCAAACCACTCTTCACTGCAATGGGTTGGATGGGTGTTGACCCGATGGAGAGAGTAGCCGACATGGAGGTGTGAAACGACTTGATGATGTTTACGATGTTACTAGGGACCCCTGCCTTCGCGAGAATCAGCCACATGCATTCACGGTTTACTGAGTCGTACGCCTTACGTAAATCAACAAAGACAACGTATCCCGGGCAGCGATGTTCGTACAACTTCTCCAGGACTTGGCGAACTGCAAACACCATGTCTGTGCAAGATCGACCCTTACGAAAGCCGCACTGGGAGTCGGGTAGAATATTCTCCGCAATAATCTGTAATCTGGACTGAAGTACTCGAGCAGCAACTTTCCCAACAACATCCAGGAGTGATATGCCACGCCAATTATCACACAATGAGAGGTTAC